TCATCCGGGAAGTCAAATACCCCCAATGGATTTCCAACATCGTGCCTGTAAAGAAAAAGAATGGACAAATCCGAGTTTGTGTGGATTTCCGAGATTTAAACGAAGCATGCCCAAAAGATGATTTTCCTTTACCCATAACTGAATTGATGATTGATGCAACGACAGGACATGAAGCGCTTTCTTTTATGGATGGATCATCTGGATATAACCAAATTCGTATGGCACCTGAAGACGAAGAGTTAACCGCCTTTCGTACACCGAAAGGTATCTACTGTTACAAAGTTATGCCTTTCGGATTGAAAAATGCTGGGGCAACCTACCAAAGAGCAATGCAAAAGATCTTTGATGACATGCTACACAAAAATGTAGAGTGCTATGTTGACGACTTGGTTGTCAAATCCAAGAGAAAAGAAGATCACCTGCAAGACTTAAGAAAGGTTTTTGAAAGGTTGAGGCGCTACCAATTAAAAATGAATCCTCTCAAATGCGCTTTTGGAGTCACCTCCGGAAAATTCCTCGGATTCATTGTCCATAGTCGTGGAATTGAGATTGAACAGGCAAAGATAGATGCCATCACAAAAATGCCTGAGCCTCGTAACATCCACGAGCTAAAAAGCTTACAAGGAAAATTAGCATATATAAGAAGATTTATCTCTAACCTCGCTGGACGATGTCAACCTTTCAGCCGAATCATGAAGAAGGGAGTGCCTTTCCATTGGGATGAAGCATGCAAGAAGGCATTCCAAAGTATCAAAGACTACTTGACAAAACCACCAGTGCTGACAGCCCCAATTCCTGGACATCCGTTGACGCTTTACATCGCTGCACAAGAGCGTTCAGTTGGAGCCTTGTTAGCACAGGAAGCCAATAAAGGGAAAGAAAATGCCCTCTACTACCTCAGCAGAATGATGACACCAAATGAACTAAATTATTCACCGGTGGAAAAGATATGCTTGGCGCTCATCTTCGCCATAAAAAAGTTGAAGCATTACTTCCAAGCGCACACTATCCGGTTGGTGTCCAAAGCAAATCCCTTGAAATATGTCATGTCAAAGCCTGTCCTTTCTGATCGACTTGCGAGGTGGTACCTGCAGCTGCAACAATTCGAAATCATATATGTACCACAGAAAGCTGTAAAAGGACAAATATTGGCTGACTTCCTTGCTGATCATCCCATCCCCGCTGAATGGGAGTTGTCTGACGACTTCCCTGATGAAGACGCGCTTTTTCTCGAAATCACCCCACCATGGAAAATGTATTTTGACGGCTCATCACACAAAAATGGAGCTGGAGCCGGAGTAATATTTGTCACATCACAAGGAGAAGTCCTTCCATACTCTTTTGCCTTAAAAGAAAAGTGTTCAAATAATGTGGCTGAGTATCAAGCACTCATCCTCGGCCTAAAAATGGCGGTAGATATCAAGCAACGCCAACTTCAAGTATACGGGGATTCCAAGCTGGTTGTAAATCAAATCACTGGAGAGTTTGAAGTGAAGAAACCAGAACTAATGCCTTACTTAAAGTATGCTAAGGCACTCATTGAGTTGCTCGGGGATGTCTCTATTGAATATGTCCCAAGGAAAGAGAATGGGCAAGCTGACGCCCTGGCTAAATTGGCATCGACTCTATCCATCCCGGATCAACAGGTGTATATTCCGATACGCAAAGTTTGGGTGGATTCCTGCAAGTATGAAGAAGAAGAATGTGTTGAAAAAGAAGTAAATCACCTCATCGAGGTGTTTGAAATTGAAGAAGAAGAAGAAGATTGGCGGCAACCAATATTAGATTTCTTAAAATATGACAAGCTCCCGAGTGACCCGCGCAGACGAGCAGATATCCGAAGAAGAGCTGCACGCTACGCCTACTTCAACGGCATACTCTATCGTCGGTCGTTCGAGAACATGTTCCTTCGATGCCTCGGCAATCATCAAGCCAAACAAGCTATGGAGGAAACTCATGCCGGAATCTGTGGAGCTCATCAAGCTGGCCCAAAGTTACACTTCCGAATAAAGAGGATGGGGTATTATTGGCCAACCATGGTTAAAGACTGTATAGAATTCGCACGGAGCTGCCAACCGTGTCAATTTCATGCTAACTTTATCAATCAACCACCGGAACCATTGCACCCAACTATTGCTTCGTGGCCATTCGATACCTGGGGCATGGACGTTGTAGGACCACTCACAAAGTCGTCCGCTGGACATCTCTATATCTTGGCCGCAACAGACTACTTCTCCAAATGGGCAGAAGCAGTTCCTTTGAAAGAAGTCAAAAAGGAGACGGTAGCTGACTTCATACGAGTCAACATCATTTACCGTTATGGGGTTCCTCGGTGTATCATCACTGATAATGGAAGATCTTTTGCCAATACTCACATCGACAAGCTTTGTGAAAAGTTTGGCTTTCAACAAAAGAAGTCCTCGATGTATTATGCACCGGCAAATGGACTCGCAGAGGCATTCAATAAAACACTTTGTAACTTGCTGAAAAAGGTTGTCTCCAAATCAAAAAGAGATTGGCATGACCGCATCGGTGAAGCTTTGTGGGCCTATCGTACTACATTCCGCACTCCAACACAAGCGACACCATACTCACTTGTATATGGGGTCGAAGCTGTCCTCCCATTGGAAAGACAAATTCCTTCACTAAGGATTGCTCTCCAGGAAGAATTGACGACTGAAGAAAATGTCAGATTAAGACTCGAAGAGCTAGAGGCTCTCGACGAGAAAAGACTACAAGCTCAACAAAGACTGGAGTGTTATCAAGCACGATTGTCTCGAGCTTACAATAAAAAAGTCAAATCACGATCCTTTCAAATTGGGGACTTGGTTCTTGCTGTGAGAAGGCCCATTGTGATCAACTTTCGTTCGGGAAATAAATTTTTATCCAAGTGGGATGGACCCTACGTTGTCACTCAGGTTTACACGAATGGTGCATACAAGTTGACATCTCAAGACGGACTCCGGATAGGGCCAATCAACGGGAGGTTCCTCAAAAGATATTATGCGTGAGACCTTCAAATCAAATCAAGACTCCTTAGCATGAGGATAAACTGCAAAATAACAATAAAAGCAAATTCAAGTTGCTTTGAACTACGTTATGACTTGATCCCTTTACCGGGTACGTAGGCAGCTTGAGATATACCTTCAAGTTCAGTCAAATAAATAAAGAAATAAATAAATAAGTGATAAAGGATTTGGAAAAAAAAAATGCTCAAAAAAAAAAATATATATATATATATAAAAAAAAGAAGAGAGAATTTAAATTTATTGATTGGCAATCAAAATGAAGAGTACAAATTGATCTTAAACATTAAGATTATACAACTCTTCTTTGCTAATATCCAACAACTCTTCTAAGCTTTTTAAGTATTCTTCGTCTTGCGCGGGGACATTCTCTACAGCGGCGAGTTCATCCTTGACTTCAGCAATTTGAATGGTGATATTCTCATTAACTCCTTGACGTCGCTTAATAAGGGAAACATTCTCTCTTTTTTGCTCTTGTAAAGAGCGAAGCTTCACGTCAATATTCTCCACACACCCCTCTAACTCCTTAATAGCTTCGCACTCCTCAACATGCCTCGTCTCAAGGTGCGACAGTCGATCTTTGATCTCGGAAATCTGTTGGTTACGAGCAGCTAAGGATACGGCGTCGATCGAGTCAGAACATGCCTCATCAAAAGATGCAGCGTCATCAAAAAGGGCCTTGACTCGGCCCTCAATATGAGAAATGTCAGAATACTGAAAGCTTTTCATTGATTGGAGCACTACATCAACCTCGTCCTTAATCGAGGAAAGCAAACGAGCTGGTGTCCTCAAAAGCTTACCCCGAAGATCCGACCATACTTTTCCTATATATTCGCGTTGGATCTTTTTCACAAAATTCGCGCCACAGAATTCTGAAACCGCGGGCACAACGGAATGAACAACTATTGGCTTGGTTGGAGCATCCTTTACTTGCTTATTGCAAACACCTCTAGTTTCTCCAATCACCTCAACAATAGAATCTCGGCTCGCCATCTTTTCATCCATACTCGGGATTCTTTGCTCCAACTGAAAAAGGGGATAAAAAAAACGGATCATGTTAAAAAAAAAAAAAAAAAAAAAAAGATAGAAGTTACCTCTCTCGCGAAATCGCTCGAAGAATGGTGTCGGCTCGAACGAGGACTTGACGGGTTGATGATATGAGGATCTCGACGAGCTCGCTTCCAATGAACATCATGCTCACTACTGCTTCGTTCAGAGACCGAGGGTACCGTCCGCTTTGAAGAACCGACATTGTGAGTACTTGAATTTCCATTGTTCCTCTCAGGAACACCCGAGATAAGTAGCGGCATTTTTCGAGCTTTATCCGATGGCTTGGTCTGATCGGTGGTCTTTTGTACCGGCGGGATATACTTATCCAAGAAAGACCCGCAAACTTGAGTCCACCACTTCTTGTATACGTCGGAAGAAAATCCCCTCGGAATCGCAGGAATGCGTGGAAGAATAACTTCGGCTGAAGATTTCAAGTAAGTACTTTGGTGCCAATGTTGATAGCCTTCCTCAAAAGCGCAGCAACGGACGTCTTTCAAAAGAACTCCGGGAATCTCTTGGAAAAAACCAAATTGACGGCAAAAACGGTGGGGACTATACGGCTCCACGAAGCATCGAAATCCATCCCGCAAAGTCAGAAAACAAGAGCGAATGGAGATGAAGTATTCTTGCTCGTAGTCTTCGCGCTTCCCGTCATCAACAAACCGTACGTCGAAATCTTTCGTGATCATGGTGCAAGCCCAACGAAAGTAGTCACCGCGTAAAATCTTTCGGCATGCAACATCTGCTCTATACGCACGAGCACTAACAGCCCCGGAGTGCTTCACCATCCCCGGACCACGGATTCCCTTCCATACGCCGTAGTGGGTCTGAAAATACTCAGCGATCCATCCGGTCAAAAAGTGGAGAGGAATTGTCGACCGAACTTTCCCAGGACATGATGAATCCGCGATCTGGTTTAGCCCCCTATAAATACTGGTTAAGACTGGAATGGCCAAGCTTACTGGAAATCCCGACGCTAGGACACTTGCCATCTTGAAAGTCGAAGGACGTATCAAACCAACATCGTCGAGCGGAAGCACAAAGATGCAAAGCCAACGAAAGGAACGCTGCGAGAAAAGTCTCCTCAAGGTGCTCCCGTCCAACTTTGAGTTTGGCAAAAGATGACTCCTGCGCCTTCGACCATGGCTCGTGGGCACCAATCTCTCCGGTAGGATTGTAAGTCGCATCAGGCCGAGAAGAACGAGTAGACTCCTTGCCACGACGAATTTGAGGACGCTCGTATTTGACGGTCTTTTCGCACCAAAAAGAAATCCAGTCGGTTGTGCGGACGCCACGTCGACCTTTGTCACGACTCCGAAGAAGGTGATAGGCATGCAACAGGTATCGGCACGAACGGGGAACCAGCTTCCTATCCTCTTTACTGCCATATAGCTCCTTTGCGCTTGGTACCACCTCTTCGTAAAATGAGCCGAGTATGGGGAGGCCCGCCAAGGACGCCAAGTCACGGAGAGAGATCGACACTTCACCGGCGGCAGTCAAAAGGGTGTTGGTTTTGGGACACCACGCCTCGCAAACGGCCTTGACGATCTCCGGAGAATAGTCGTAGGAGAACAAGGAAGCATAGACCGCATCGTAAATGCATCCTCTCTTTAGTTGAATCTCGCATCGATCCAACACATCCTCCGCCCATTCCCAATAGCCGGCCACGTACGAAAAGTTGCCATCAAATGAAGGAAGACCATTCCAAACGCACGCCCCATCCATGATCCGCCGCCCCAAGGTTGGAAGTGGAAGAACATCGTTTGACACGTGTTGATGAAGTGAGGATTGCAAGGTATGCTTTCCGCCAGCGACATTCCGAGACCACGTCTTTGGGAAATTTGACACCTCCAAGCGAGGGCGAGCAGCTCCGCGTCCTATGAGTGGTGGATGCACCAATAGACGAGTCGCCTTGTCCAGCGGTTGACCTTCAAACTCGCAAATCACCAACTCGGCGTTTCCAGAGGGGGAGGAGACATCCTTGAAGTAAGCCATCTCGCCTACAAAAAATATATATATATATATAAGCAAAGATCAAAAGATGAAAAAAAAAAAAAAAAAAAAAAAAAACACAAGAGGAATAAGCCTACCCTAGAATGAGAGAAATCAAAACTGTGAGAAGTTGAGAATGATAAGATTCTCTCATGGTGAGGGGTTTATATAGTGTCTAAAAATTGAGATATGGAAAGACATGTATAAAAAAAGGAAGGAAGATAAAAATAAAAACAAAGAATAAAGGAAAGAATATATATATATATGATATGTGTATATATATATATATATTTTGGCAAATACGCCATTTAAAAAAAAAAAATGGCAAAGATGCCATTTATTAAAAAAAAAAAAAAAAAAAAAGAAAAAAAAAGAGAATTTTGCAAAAAAAAATGTCAATTTTGCAAAAAAAAAAAAATGGCAAAAACGCCATTAAAAAAAAAAAAAAAAGCAAAAAAAAAAATGTCAATTTTGCAAAAAAAAAAATGGCAAAAACGCCATTATTATTAAAAAAAAAAGAGAAAAAAAAAGAATTTTGCAAAAAAAAAAAAAAAAAAAAAAAAACTTGCATAAAAAAATGGCAAAAACGCCATTTACAAAAAAAATGCAAAACAAAAAAAAGAATGGCAAAAAAAAAGGGCCATTTAAAAAAAAAAAAAGAAAAAAAAAATTCTTTTTCTATGTTTCGAGACTCGTTCATGCCTTAAATATTTTGTGTCGGCTTAAACAAGTCTCGAGGGGGCATTTTGTAGACACTAAAAATATATGTCTAAAATCAATTAAATATCATGTATTTTGGAAGAAAATAAAATTCCAATAAAATAAATATATGGTATTTAATTATGCACATATGTTAATTTTTGTACAATAAATATCAACCATTAGTGCAAAATCTGCTTAAAATGGAAGATATCGTACAAATATTACGTGCATAAATAGAGCCATAATAAATTTGGCAGCAAAATAAATTAATCTTGTCAATAAAGGAAGTATATAAATTAATATCTTCCAAACAAGGCAATGATATAAAGATCTTGTCAATAAAGGAAGTATATAAATTAATATCTTCCAAAAAAGGCAATGATATAAAGATTTTGACGAGAAAGGAAGGTGCATAATCAAATCCGTCAAAAATGGAAAACGGCATCCGAGGGAAAAGGAAAGATTATAAAATCTTTCCATCCACGTGGCACCATCCGAAAAGGAAGCCAAGGCCACCCTCCCCTATAAATAGGAGCCTTGGCCAATTCATTTAGACACCGAAGTTCATTTGAAGACTCGCGCAAGGGTAAGTCTCTCTAGACTCTCTGCAATGTTCTTCATTGTTCTTCGTGTCCTTCGAAGCGTTCTTCGTCGAAAAGTCACCGATTTGGACAAATGATCCAATATTGGTTGACGAATCGATGAAGTTAACGTTCTTCGTCGTATGTCCGAGCCGGAGGAAGGATCAAATCTCTCAAAGCTATCGAGGAATCCATCAAAGCCAAGGAAGAGCCTCCAAAGTCGCTCCCAAAGCTTGAAGATGTTCGTAGCGTTCTTCATAAAAGGCGCAAACCAGGCCCTCTTCGATCCAAAAGTCAAAGGGACACGCCGCCAAAAGCGTTATGGAGCACTAAATCTCTCCCTCAAAGATCAAATTCCGTCGGATCATCCAAAGGAGGCATCAATCCGAAGCCGACGATCAAAATCGCCAACATGGATACCAAAGTCCTTCAAAAGCCGGCGAAGTCAAACCGAAGACCAAAATCCCTTCGGATCAAAGAAGCCACCCAAATCCAAATTGGAAAAATGGATCGACTCGGAGAGAGAATCAAAGGATCCGAATAGAGAATAGGACCCGCATTAAATTTAAATACAAATATAATTTGTACAAATTTTGTGTTTATAAAAATATAACACAATTTTTTTGTCTACAAGTACATCTTAAATGTTGGATTTGATAATTAATTTTTTTTTAAGGTGATAGATCAAATGATGAATTTAAAAATTCTAGAATATGTGCTTAATGCTTATAAATTCAATATTTTGATTTGCTCCATTAATTAATGTAGTTAATATAATTAGTTAAATTAATTTTGAAGGCATGAGCACCGAATAATTCAGCATGTGATCCATGTTATTTTTAAATATGATCTTATAATCATTATTACTGAAAAAGTATAAAATATATAAAATTTAATTAAATACAATTAACATAATATATATTAAACACATTCAATAATATATATATATATATATTATTGAATACTAATATTAAATATATAATCATGTCTAACTATCCAATTTTTTGAGTATTTGAAATTGTTGGGTTTAAACAGTAATATTGCTACTCAATAATAATAATAATAATCTTTAAGTTAAATGTATTTACGACAAAATAAATACAATTTTATTTAAATATTTTTATTTATAAAGTATTATAAATACGTAAAATAGAGAGTCTTCAACAAACACATCTGGTGTTTGCAATTAGCAAAATAAACTAATCCCAAATTCTTATGAATATAAAGTAAGAAAAAAAAAAAAAATTGTTCAATTCAAATTTTTCTTACATGATAATTTTCTCTCAAACTAGACTTCCGATTAACAATACAAATTTTCAGAACGAAGTAAAATATGTTTAGAACTTTTTTTAACATCAGCTCGATTGAATGGTGAACGACTTCAAACCATAATAAAAGATTTCGGCTAGATGATATTCTTGACACACATCGTGACTAATTTTTTTTTTTTTTAATTTCCGTATCTCTTATCATTTAGCTCCCTCAACCCTAAGTTTGATCTTTCTTCACTTATATAAGTGAGGTTGAATAGGTTTATCATTCTCGGTCTATTTTTCTGTAAAAAAATATCACAGAACTCCAAAAAAAATCATCCCTTTAAAAATATACGGAGATAACTATCAAACCGACAGTCTTATAGCGAACTTCAAACTTTTCTCTTGATAATTTCTTTGGCATCATACCAACATCATTCACATCAATGTGAATTTTGGCCAATTCTAGAAAATTAACATCCAAAACACCACGTATGAAAAGTCATATCTTTTAACCAAGATAAATAGAATTTTAATTGTCTAAAAATAGTACTAATTTAGTAAATTTATTCACCTTAAACATACTTAACAAATATAAATCTATTTAATTAAATTTATAATTTTGTACAGGTAGAGCCCACTCAAAACTCCTTTATTTTTATATCTCTCCTCAATAAATAAATATTTTTATCTACATTTAAAATTTTTTATTTTTTTATAAAATTAGTTTTAAGTTAATTATAAATATTTTTATTTATTTGTATTATATAAAATTTTATTAGATATTCATTTTTCATATATTTTATTGAGGTATAATCATAAAAATATTTAAAATACCAACTGCTCGTATAAAAAGATACTAATATAATAATATCATAACTTATTAATTTACAATATCTAAAATACTATGTCGGTAACAAATGACTCATTTTTGCTGGGAAAAAAAAAAAAAGTATCTATTGATCTTCAACAAAACCAAGCTTCTAGACAAATTTCTTCAACCATATTAGCTCCTTGCATACTTCGGCAATGACTAGCCTAATAGTCAACAAAGCTACACACATTTGTAGTTTAGATTTCCAACTTACAACTTTACCATTACATATAACTTTACAAAATCGAAAGTACGATTATTATATAGAAATTTTATTTATCTTTCATACTATTCAACCATTGTTATTTGGCTTTATTTTAGTGGCTTCTTCTAAATTATAAAGTTTTCCCCTATATGGGGAAATTGCATACTCATCCAAAATACACATTTTATATGCTAGCTTTTTTTTTTTTTAGACCTTTTGAGTTGGGTAATTTGTTATTCAAATGTATAACTAAGACTCTCACCATGTGACACCCCATGTTCCTTTTTATAAAGAATATTAATAGGAACATTTATTTCATTTTCAACTTGTTAGTCATCAAAAACTTGAACCCTAGTATTCATATCATGAATCATATTACTATCTTCATTAGGTTTAGACTTATTAACTTTGTTAATATTTTCAATAGTTTGGCTTCTATAAACTTCACATCACGGCTTCTATTAACGGCTTTTAGTTGAATCATTGTCAATTCTATTGTTATCATATTCCGCGAAGATATATGCATCCTAGCTTTTGCATCTACATGGATCTTTTCATCATCTAGAACATGCACAAACGTCTTGTAGCAAAAAACTCTTAACCGATCATATTTTACATTATTGTCAAACCAATTTTTCTTTTAGCGCCTCACTATTCAAATAAGCAATATGATTGAGATTGATAACATTCATTACTTACAGCATACATCTTATTCTTTCAAAATCATCTTATAGTTTTCAAATGATTTTTTTAATGTGCAATACCATATTGTTTACAATAACCACAAATTGATTCAAAATACTTGCCACCATTGTTTGTATAATAAATATATTTCAACTTCTGGTTTAACTCCTTCTCAATTATGGCATACAATTCTTGGAACTTTTCCAACACTACACATGATTCCATATATTCCTAGAACATTGTCAATAAATATAGCAAAATATAATGCACCACCGAAATATTTTACTTTTAAGAGGCCATACATATCTTAATGCACCAATTTAAGCAACTCGCATTTCGTAGATAGATGTTGCTTTTGTAAGCATACTCAAGTCTAGTTACCAACAATGCAATGTGAAGCACATTTTCTTTTGATAAACTATTTAGTCCATTTTCACTAATATGATGAATGATTTTGATACCAAAAATATGTTTATCGATACATGATATTCATAATATCTTTAACAATTGAAGCTTTAGTCTAGTAAAGCTTATAAATTTTCTTTCTTTTGACCACAATGAAATTATCTTTAATGTGTTTTTACTTTTCAAAACAAAAATGATGATCACATCCACCATTGTCAAGTATGCACTACAAAAAAATATCAATTTTGTAACAAGATTTTTTCGTACTTAAATCCACTTTTTCCGTTACTAATGATATTAGAGA